AGACGCCTCTTTCACGGCGCAGCGGCCGGAGCCGCAGGTTCCCCAGCACCGGGGGGGGCCACCCCGATGCCAGCGAGACCGGCACTGCATCCCGCCCCTCTGCGCCCCCTCGTCCCCTCGTTGCCGTGTCCCCTCATTCCTGCATTCCTGTGTCCCCGCATCGCCGTGTCCCCATTTCCCCATCTCCTTGTGTCCCCATTTAACCCCATCCCTGTATCTCCTTATCCCCACACACCCATATCCCCACATCCCCCCAGCCCTGTGTTCCCTCATCCCTGCAGCCCCACATCCCCATGCCCCAGTGCCCCCATATCCCTGCATCCTCTCATCCTGGCTCCCTGCATCCCCATGTCCCTGCATGTCCATAGACCTGTGTCCCCATGTTCCCTCATCCCTGCATCTGTGTGTCCCTGCATCTCTAGATCCCCGCATCCCTGTATCCAGGCATCCCTGAATCCCCACATCTCTACATCCCCGCATCCCTGTATCCCCACATCCCTGAGTCCCCGCGTCTGTACATCCCCATATCCGTGCATCCCTGAGCCCCCACATCTCTACCTCCCCGCATCCCTGAATCCCCGCATCTCTACATCCCCGCATCCCCGTATCCAGGCATCCCTGAAGCCCCGCATCTCTACATCCCGGCCTCCCTGTATCCCGCATCCCTGAGCCCCCACATCCCCACACCCGGGGTACTCACTCGGCCACCCTCCTGCGCCAGCGCCGGTTCTCGGACGGGTGCTGCCGGTAGGTGCCGTAGTCAAAGAGCGAGTCCATGGGGGCCTTTTTGGGCGCGGGTGCCACGGCCGCCTCGTACATGGAGCCCTCGGGCGGCTCCGGGGCCTTGGGGCCGCCTTTCCGAAAGGCCCCCTGGAACTTCATGCGCAGGTTCTGCCTGGCGTCGCCGGCGGGGCCGCGCGCCGCCTCGGCCCCCGCCGCCTCCTCGCTCTCGGACACACGCGTGAGCAATCCCAGGAATTCACGGCTTTTCGCTTGCAGAGAGGCACAGGAGAGGGCAGGAATCCTGCGCTAAGCGTGACACACAATCCCGGGAAAGGCGGTGCGGAGCGGGACAGAAAAAGCACCCTGGGAACGTGTCATTTCCCGTCCCGCTGCGGCTCCGGCCCCAGCCGGGGCTCGGCCTCTCCCCGCCGCAGGGCCGGCTTCTAATGAGGCAGCGTGTCATGAGAGCCGGCTCCACGGGGGGAGCGGCGGCACCGGGGCGGCAGATCCCCACCGCGGCGACGTGGGGCCTCCTCCGGCCACCGCCACCTCCGTGAGAGATTCCCCGCGCACCCGGCAATGGGGCACCGCGTCCCCGGCCCGGCACTGTGTCCTCCTCCCGCCCCAGGCTTTGCCCCAGGATGAAGCACCGGCTTCTCCGGGCGCCTTGGAAATCCCAGCCCAAACCCCAGGCAAAGCAGAGCCGGGAGGGAGAGCCGCGAGCGCCGAGCCCGGAATAGCGCGGTCAGCGCGCGGGGAGCATCGTCCCGCTACCCCGCTCATCCCGCCGGCTGTCCCCATCCCGCTGCCCCTCCTCATCCCGCTCTCCCCTCCATCCTGCCGCTTTCCACAGGTTCCAGCCGAGCGCACGAGGCACCGGGGCCAGTTTTGCACCTCCATCCCACACAGCCGAAGCGCTCCAGCTCCCATGGGATGTCCCCCCTGGGTCTTACCCCTCGGGAGAGCTGCAGCCGGCGGAGCCGCGAAGCACAGGACAGGAGTGGAAAACACAGGGACTCAGCCCCGCGGCAGGAAATTTGCTTTGGAAGTGACGGACTTGCTGGCCCATCCCATAAACCCAGACCGTCCCGGCCACCACCCGGAAAGGTGGTACCCAGCTGCTTATGTTGGGCTCGTGGCTTATTTGGGTTCTGATTTTTTAGATTTCCTCCCTTTTTGGAGTGAATGAGTCAAGGAGGAGCGCGAAGGGTTGTGCCCTTTTCCAGCGCGGCTCCGCGGGCACCGGCCGGCGGATCCGCCGGGATGCCGGGCTCCAGGTAGGAGTGAATCAGTCCGACTGCATCGTGTTCCCCCGGCCCCACGGAAACTCACAGCCGCTCTCCAGCCTCCTTCCAAAGCAAACAGCCACGTTCACCTGGGCTGGAGCGGCCGCGCGGCGGCCCCGGCGGCCGAACAAGCGCCCTCTGTTCGCTCCCTTTCCCCTTCACACACCCCGCGCCGGCACTTGGCACCGGCCGCGCTGGAGCCGCGCGCACGGGCCCCCTCCTGGAGAAATCCCCGGGATGCAAAGGCTGTCTCGGGGAGAGGGGCCGATGCCGCGCGCGGATCCCACGGGATGCAGCCGTGCGGATGCTGGGGATAGATGGGGCGCTCGGACCCGCAGCCCTGGCCTGAGCCCTGCATCCCGCCCCGACGCTGCATCCCGGGACCGAGCCCTATCCCAGCCGTGGGGCTTGGTGCAGTCCCGGTGCCCCCCACATCCCAGCGGGTCCCTGCGGTGCCCGGCTCGGTGCAGAGCAGCTCGCGCCCCCATCGCCCTCCACTCC